CTGCACGTCCGGAGCCTGTGCTCCGCAACGGGAGAGGTCGCAACAGTGAGAGGCCCGCGTACCACAAAAAAAAAAAAAAAAAAAAGCCCTACACACACACACACACACACACACACACTTCACAGCTCTATCTACTGAACAGATCTAGAAGCAATGGTACCCAGAGTAGTGAGAGCACTCACTGCCCAGATCCTGGCCTCTCATCACTAATCCCCACTAAGATTAACCATTGCTCCTTAGAGAAATTCCAGGTCTAAGGTAGGCATGACGTGAGCCCACAGACCATTCTCTGCCAGAAAGCAAGGAAATGCTCAAAGACTAATGGGGATGTCTCAAAAGGACTTGATCTGAAAGGCTCCCATCGCCGAAATTTGGGACAACTGAGCATCAAAAACAAATACCCCCCTACCACTGAAATTAACGGACTAACAATACATTGCATTTTTTAAAATTCCACTAGTCCATAGTGACATATACACATAAAAACGGGGTGGGAGGGATAGGTATTCTTTACAGATTAATCATTTAAAAGAGATGGTGGAATGAGAAAATCACCATTTTGCAACCAGCAATGTAATAAAGCAAGGATCCACAGTGGATGCTAAGAACCTTAACTGGAAGGTCATCAGGGAATAGAACAGTCACGTGACCTCTAGGTGTCGAGCCACAGGTGACAACACAGATGCAGGAACCAGGTGAATGCAGCAAACAGGTGGAGGTTTCTGTCTGCATAGATCTGGCTTTATATATTTTTACAATTTTTGATATTGCAAACATGTTATCTTTTTCAATAATTAGAACATAAAAAAGAAAGGAATGAGGAGTGTGGAGGCAGGGGGCTACAGGGTTTTGTCAATAAACAGAATAAAAGAAAATCAAAAAGAAGTTGAGCAGGTTTGAAATTTAAGATTTTAGGGGACATTCATGTATGCTTAAAAATAGAGGGAGGGAACACACGGAAAGCCCCAGACAAAACTCTAAGGGAGGGAACCCAGGGGTCATGGAGAAGCACAAAATGAGAGGGGGGCTGGGGGTGGGTTGGCAGCGTGTAAAAATGACACCTGGAAAATCTCTTCCGAAGACGGCCTCTGTAAGGAAGCAACACCAAGCAGCCCAGTGTTCTCAACAGGCTGGGATGTCTTTGTGCAAAGTGACTTGGCCACATGTGAAAACACATCTCACCATACTTAGGATAGTACAGGCTCTTAAGCACAAAGAATCTCATCAGCTGGTGGTTCTCTCACCTGGACTAGGGCCTTCTAAAATTTCTTTTATCACCATCCATGGTTCTTCCAATATGGGAATCACGGTTGGTCTGTACACTGTAAGTCCTGTTCAGGAGGAACAGAGTGAGTTTTACCCTGGAGATAAACAGTTGTTCAAGTTTTACTACCTGACTTCTTACCCATGAGGACAGATCTCTACAGGAAGAGAATGGTTCACGGACATGACCTCATGAATGAGGTCACTGTCCTTTTCGGAGCTGGGGCAAAAATTTCCTGCACGCTGGAGGATGCACGCCTAGAGATCACGGGGAAGGAGGCACTGGGCAGGGCGCGGCGTCGGGTGGTGGCCCTGGGAGGCTGTGCGTCATACCTTCTGATGACCTTTCACTTGGAAACCTTTCATTTGGGAAAAGGGAGCAGAACTTTGCCATTTCTGTGCCTGAACGGACAAGCACGCTCACCTCTAGGCCCGACCATTTTTAACAGCTGAGGGGAGAAAGACTCGGGTGTGTATGCAGGGAGGAGGGCCGGGTGCGGACGACGCTCACCCAGAGAAACCATGTTCCAGTAGTTCTGCAGGGTCACCGTCTTGTACAGTTCCTTCTGCACAGGACGCATGAGCTCCCAGTCCTCCCGGGTGATGTCCACGGCCACATCTGTGAATGTCATGGATTCCTGAAACATCAAACGTGACTTAACTTGGTTCAGGAACTAGTAGGAAGGGGACAGCGACAGCACAGGTGTGTGTGTGGTGGGGGAAACCACAGAGTCTTGAGTGCTGGTAGGACCCTAAAAATTACCTAGTCAATACCTTTACCCAATGTATGGATAAGCAGACCTGAATGGCCTGAGGGCAAGTCTGAAAACAAAGTAGAATACATCAGTTTCAGTGCATGCGTTAGTGGCTCCATCTTAACGAATAAAAGGATTTAAACATAGATGACACAGAGAGAATGGTTTGACTTTCAAGTATTGCCTTACAAATAAATTAAATGTGTTACAGTTTGACATTTTAAGATATTTTCTGTGCTCTATGATGGAATGCAGAGCCCTTCCTTCTTCCCTCCTATCTATCTATCTCTCTATCTATCTCTCTATCTCTCTATCTATCTATCTACTTTTGGCTGCGCTGGGTCTTAGCTGTGGCACGCAGATCTTTCATTGCAGTGCGTGGGCTCTTCGTTGTGGCGCGCAGGCTTCTCTCTAGTTGTGGCACACAGACTCAGTAGTTGCGACATGTGGACTCTCTGGTTGTGGTGTTTGGGCTCCAGAGCACGTGGGCTCTGTAGTTGCGGTATGTGGGCTTAGCTGCCCCACAGCACGTGGGATCTTAGTTCCCCAACCAGGGATGGAAACCACGTCCCCTGCATTGGAAGGCAGATTCTTATCCACTGGACCACCAGGGAAGTCCCCCTTCTTCCTTTCTAAAATAAAACTGGTACCAATAACCACACTGAACTACTGTACCTGTAGATACATTTCACAGTCTGGTAAAGTTAGTATCCCTCTGCTCTTCCTTCCTTTGTTTAAAAAAACAAAATTCTTGCTTACTCTCACATGTTTTTCAAATAAACTCTGTAAGTTTCTTTAAAAAACTGTACTGGGGGCTTCCCTGGTGGCGCAGTGGTTGAGAGTATGCCTGCCGATGCATGGGACACGGGTTCGTGCCCCGGTCCGGGAAGATCCCACATGCCGCGGAGCAGCTGGGCCCGTGAGCCATGGCTGCTGAGCCTGCGTGTCCGGAGCCTGTGCTCCGCAACGGGAGAGGCCACAGCAGTGAGAGGCCCGCATACCGCAAAAAAAAAAAAAAAAAAAAAAAATTGTACTGGGATTTTTCAAATCATACGTAAGTGTATAATTTAGGGAGAGCTGGCAGTTTTACAGTATTCAAGGCTTCTTTCATGTCTACAGAATAACACACGACTGCAAAGCTTATACTATGCTTAGTCGTAGTTATTTTAAATGTGGGGGTAATACTGTGAATGGAAACTTTTATTTCATTTTAGCATCTATCTGATTTTTACGTATATTTAAGAAAGTGATTAATTTTTGTATGCCATTTTCTGTTGTGGTCACTTTACTCAAATTCTCTATTATTGTTTCTAACAGTTTTTCCCTTGATTTTCTTAGGTTTTTTTGGTAAACATTCATATTATCTACAAATAATAATTTACTCTGGTTACCAATTTCAGACCATGTATATTTTACAGTGTATTTTACAGTAAACCTTTCTCTTAAGATGGCCTGAGCTGCTCTTCCTTAAAATAACACAGACTCGTAATAAACAGTAACATTAAACAATACATGGCCTTTAATCACTTGTTAACAAAGAAAAATAATAACTATTGTCTAATCATCCTGTGACCTTCTTGATCACTTACTGTAATCCAGGCTAACGGGTCTCATAATATTTAACTGTCATGATCTAAGAGGAATATTCATTAGAGTTTAGTAACTCAGGCTATGAGTGGTTAAGTGTCTTGCCCCCAATCACAGGTTCAGTGGCAGAACCAGGAAGCAAATCTAGATCCATGTGGCTGTGGAGGTGAATCCCTTAACCTCTATGCACTACCACTGCTTTAAAGTTAAAAAGTGAGGAAAGGGATATCACGGGAAGCAATGGATCCCATTTCCTATACAAGGCATTCACCTAGCTTAACAGGCCACGGTGACTTAAGGAGAAAACCTAAGGCTTAGGTCCTTCATAGGACTTCTGGGGTCACAGAAGGTAGAGGGTCAGGTTAGAAAATGTCCTCACACACTAGGAAGGCATTTTAAAATCACAGAAGAAACTGACACTCACTTTGGTCACGAAGTCATTGAGCCACCCTGCCTGGAAAGCTTGTCTTCCTTTGGGGTCTTCCTCTGGGGTCTCCTGGGAAAGGGTGGAGCTCTGAGGAACAGCTAGAGAAGAGAAAGAGACCATGGTGGAGATCAGCCCTGTTTGAATAGTCTAGGAAACTCTACATTTTCTTAAAGCGAGGAATCAGAAGGAAACCAAAAACAGCCCCTGCTTCACAGAACCAGAGAGAAGGGGCAATGACTTATCCTGAAACTTATCCGGTTTTTGAGCAGGCTTCAAAAACGAAGTCTGCTCTGGGATGCTTCAGAATATGTACCAAATTCACAGTTTTCTACTAAACCCTTGCGTGATAGAAATTTTGTGAGCTGTCTTTTTACTTAGTAAAGAAATATTCTCTGGACACTTCTCTACATATTTGGAAGTATGTTACCATAAAACCCAATTCACAAAGCAAATGATTTATTGGCAGAATGGTTCAAACCTCTGCAGGGAAACTTCCTGAGGGCGCACATGGGGGTAATTTGGTTGTGTCTGGCCACTGTTTATGATACGTCCTCTGGGTTTACAGAACGTGTGTTGGGTTCCGAGCAGTTGGAAGAGGAATGCCAGGTAGGACGGGGCTCAGTGAAGCCTGTTCTCACTCACTCCCTGACCTCTGTTTTCCTAATCACCTCAAAGGGCTGCTCTCTGACGTGATGGCTGTCTTCTCGGACCACCCAGGACTCCTCCTCTCTCTGCCCTTACAAGTCTTACCTTCTTCCTCTAGAATCTGAGTCAAATCCTCCACCAGAGTCACCACTTCCTCGCTGCTCTTTGGGTACTGGGACTTCACCCAAGTCCTAACCTCCCCAGGCAGGATGCTCAGGAATTGCTCCAGGACCAGCAGCTCCAGGATTTGTTCCTTTGAGTGAATCTCAGGTCTCAGCCACTTAAGGCAGAGCTCTCGGAGCTGATTCAATGCCTTTCGAGGACCAGCCAGGTCTGGGTATGGAAAATTCCTAAAATTCTGCCGACAGGTCTCAGTGTCACGCAGGAGTCTTGAGGCGAGGGTTTCCTTCTCAGCATTGCGGGGTCCACTCTGAGCCTTGTCCGGCTTCCACATTAGAAGGACCTGGGCACGTGACGAACTGGTCATCCTCTTGCTCGGGGAGAACATGGCTACACACAGGAGAGTCAACCTGGCAACAGCCTTTATCTCTCCAGGAGTGAGCCGAATGCGTGAAGTCGCATGCTAGAACCACAAAGGCATTTACCAAGGGCTGCTGCGGCCAGGGGCAGGACAGAGGCAAGGTAGACTTAGCAGTCTTCCTTACAAACTCTGAGCCCAGAACTCGTAGGGATGGCTAAGAGACCCTGAAACACAAGAACAGACACAAGGTCAAGTATTCCTGGTGGTCTCTGCCATACGCACAAACAGTAACAGGCAGGCGACCCACAGTGTACAAATAAACACTGAGAGTCTACCGTGCTCTACCTCCCTGATATCCTTAGACTTGTAAAATAGATGCAACCTGCCCTGGGCACGGGTTGGGACTGCCATAAAAGGGTGGTGATAGAAGCAAAGCAAAAAGACAGCTCAAACTTCTAACTTGCTGAAACAAACAATTTTTACAGAAAAAAAAAAAAGCTTCAGTATTATAGTCACTGATGTTACAGAAGCTGTAATGATTGAAGCGCCTCTGAAAACAGCAGATCTGTTACTTAGAAAAAACTGGGAGGAGACCTTCTCCTAAGAGCTCAAGGTTCCCAAGGGAACGGTCAGGGGAAAAGGGCGAGCCGTTTCCCCGCTCTGCGTATCAATGCCAGACTGTCCCAGCCCTGCACTACCAGAGGGCTGAGCACGGGAAAGAAGCAGACTGGTGTAACCTGAAGCCCGTGAAGAGCTTCCACAGAACACAATTCCTAGGGAATACATTTGAAACCAGGGTTCCCGCAGAAAACCTCACTGCACATGACCTGGAGGAGAACCGACACCACTTGTCCACGGGCTCCAGCTCTGAGCCCCCCTCAACCCGTCGTGTCCCCCAAAGCCGGCTGCGCACCAGGCCTACAGGGCAGAGGCACTCCTCGCCTCCCCACCGCGCGAGGTCCCCCTAACTCCGCAGTCTGAGGCTCGCGGGCCGCTGCGCGGGGACTGCCCCGCAGCCCCTGCCCCGCAGCCCCGACCCCGCAGGCCGCCCGCATCCTGACCTGTGGCCGGACCGGGGACGCGCAGCCGAGCGGCCCGAAAAGCCCCGGGCAACAATGGCGGCGGGGGCGGCGCCTGCGTGGCGGGCTCGGTCCCGCGCTGCGGAGGGGCCTCGGCCCCGCCGCGTCCGTCCCGTAGAGAACGGCGCCTCGGCCGGAGCCGCCCGTGCAGCCGGTCCTGGGAAGCCCAGCCCGGAACCCACCGCGCCCCGGCTCCACTGTGACCTCGCCTCGGCGCCACCGCGCATGTGCGCAGGAAGGACACCGCGCACCCTCGGAGCCAATCGGAAGCCGCGCCCGGCCCTCCCTGTCCGAGCTGCGGACCGTGGACCTGTCTCCATGGTAACCTCCTCCGCCCATTGCTGGGACTTGCTTGTTAGCCGCAGAGGTTCTGAGGGAACTTTAAAGTTTCCCTGAGCAGAGTCAGGTCTGGTAGACGACTGGGAGGGAGGTCGGGGAGCTACAGCATCTGGGGGAAGGGAATGCGGATTGGGCGGGGGGCGGTTGGAGCCCCGCGCTAATCAACCAGAGAAAACCTGGTGGCAGAGTTCACGGAGGAAGGATGGACAGGGAAGATGTGGGTCTTAAGGCAGAAAGACCCGAAGTGCTGGTTTGGGCTTTACTGCTCATAACCATTCACTCGTAAAGGCTCCGAGTCCCTCCGCAGGAATCTGATTCTGAGACTCTCAGATCGGAAAAAACAACATCCAGCGTCATGTTGTTTATGAAAGACTCAGCATAAAATGCTTGAAAATAAAAGGATAGAAAAACATTCAGGGGGTCCCATTATCTAATGCTGTGTTGGCAAACCAACATTAGATAATGTTGGCAAAACTCTTTAATGGAGTTAAAGAACAAGCATTTTATTATGCTCTTGGATTCTGTAGGTCAGGAATCTGGAAGGGGAAGAGTGGGTGTGGCTTTTCTCTGCTCCACTGTGTCTGGAACCTCAGTTGAGATGATTTGATGGCAGGGAGGGTCCACTTCCAAGATGTCTTCTTTACTCACATGCCTCCTCTTCTGGCTGAGATGGCTCAAAGATGAGCTCAGCTTGGATATGACCAGAGTGCCTATATATGGCCTTTTCGGCATGAAGGACTCAGCCGGCAGCTGAGATGGCGGCTCTGGGCTTCAAGAGCAGGTGTTCTAGTGAACAAGAGAGAAGCTCCAAAGCTGACTATGATATAACCTCAGAAGTCACAAAACATCACTGCCATTGTACTCTTGGTCAAAGCAGTCACAAGTCTGTGCAGAATCAAGTGGAGTCTGATGTAGACCCCATCTCATGATGGGTGGAGTGTCAGAGAGTCTTAATATTAACCACACCAGGCAAATTTGAACAACAAGAAAGTTGGGTAGTTTGATGATCTTTGATGTGTCAACTTGGCAAGGCTAAGTCTCCCACTGTTTAATCAAACCCTAACCTAGGTGGTGTTGTAAAGGTATTTTGTAGGTGTGGCTAAAGCCCATAAACTCAGATGAATTAAGTAAAGGAGATTATCTGAAATAAGTTGGGTGGGTCTGAATGAATCAGTTGAAAGGCCTTCAAAGCAGAATTGAGGCTTCCTAGATGAAACTCTGGACAAAGCTTCTAGTCTGCCCTTCCTGACAGACTGCCCTACAGATTTTGAACTTGCCTAGTCAGCCTCCACAATCGAGTAAGCCAATTCCTTGCCAAAAAAAAAAAAAAAAAAAAAAAAAAAA